AAACAAAATGTGGCCTTTTAAGTTGCGTAGCATATGCTGATGTAAATACCTCAAAATAAATTGGCTCATATTTATCGTTTGTGGTCAGTTACTGTATTGGGTGGGGCGCGGTGGTGGTGCTTCATACTGTTTTTCATCAGATAATCTTGCAATAGTTTGGAAAGCATTTCAATTAGGAATTGCTTTTATAGCATCATGTATAATTTCTACTGCAGTAGAATTTGCACACCTAGCAGTTATGTGCCCGGAGTTTCTGCTGACTTAAACGGAACTATTTTCTCCGGGTCAAGCTCATATAACATCAGTCCCAGTTCTCCTGGTTTATTCCCTGCAGATATGTATGGCAAAATATATAATGGCAGACTCAGACTAATGGGAGATATTTTCTCTGACTGGGTTGCATCCTAATCATCAATTTCCAGACTACATACATGGCAATTTTCCGCGGATCCGCGGAAATCCGCCGTTTTATTTCTTAAATTGATCATTTTTGTGAATCGTCTAAATCCGTTGAGAAAATTTTAGGGGCGGTCAGGTACCTTATCGTCGAGTTTTCACGAGCTCTCCGGAACAGTCTCTCCGTTTTCCGTTTGTAAACAGCCCTGCGATTGGACGTGTATGAAAGCTTCAACTAATCAGATCACTGAAGGCATTATTTGTTGCGGAAGTCTTCGCTCGATTATAAACAGCCCAGCGATTGGTTAACTACAAGCGATTGGACCAATCAAATTGCATGTAACATATTGTTTTACCTGATTCATGGCGGCCTGTTCGTCTCGCAAATTCATTGTTCTGGGATCGTTTTGAGCGGAATTATGAAATTTTTGACGAAAGATCAGGAGTCTTTAATCCTAGAAATTGACTCAAATGTCAAGAATAAATTCCGATTGGACTGGCTTGACAGAAAAGTCACTGTAAAGGTTAAAATTGGTTCCAAGTTCGACGAAGTTACAAAAGCTCTTGGGCAATTTTTGAAGAAACCAGACGTAGCAGGCAAAGCTTATTGTGTGTATTGTAGTGACTTAATTAAC